TAATGGAAATGTGAAGCTGTAAATGATCGTACACTGCAGCTGTCCAGTACAGAAGTCCAATATCTGAATCAGAAAATGTAGTGAGACTTCATAAGCTGCTTAAAATGGAAGTGTTAAAACATTTGTAGGAGATGACACGATCAGAGGAGAAGTTCAATTTGACCAATTTCAAATTAAAACCCTTTATTTCAAATCAGGAAGGCCACCACATTTATTGGTTCCGATGTATACATTATTTGATTTTGCTATGTGTAAACAAAGTAAAAAGTGTTTGTTTGGGCTTTTTACTGATTGTCAGCTCTGAGAAGTTCTAATAAGCTGTTTTTCACTGTTTGGAAAACATTTTGCAAACAAGGATTAATCAAGTTATCTACAAGTGTTTCGATCGATGGAAAAAAATCATTGCTTGTAGCCTTGATCACAGTATACATATACAGAGATATTTTTTTATTGTTTTCAAATGTTTTACATCTGAGAGATTTGAATCCGAACGAGTTCCTGGAGAAGTAAAGTAGTGAGGGCAACGCTCGGGTAAAAGAACCTCAGGGATTCTTAACATACATCTGTGTGTGTCGTAGGTGTACTAACTTAGTCCTCTAGTTCTTCCAGATGTCTATTTTCTAACCAGTACTTTTTATTTGTGTCTCTTTAATCCCCCAGTGAGTTGAAGCAGCGCTACAAGATCACAGCGGTGCCCAAACTGGTGATCGTGAAGGAGAACGGCGAAGTGATCACCGACAAGGGCAGGAAGCAGATCAGAGAGCGAGGCCTGGCCTGCTTCAGGTCCTGGCTGGACGCTGCGGAGATCTTTCAGAACTTTAAGGGTTAGGCGACGACATCACGTGGAAGAGGAGGAAAAAGACTTCAGCCGATCGTCACTCAAAGGCCACCGCAGCCACATTAGAGAGCCGAAGAAAACCAAATAATAATAAATAATAAAAAAATATTTCACTTTGGGTTTATCGTTCCCAGCCGTAGGATTAACGTAGCCGAGAGGATTTGAAGCGTTTGAAAGAGCAAATCATGTTTCTTTGCACAGAATGAATCAGTTTCCCTGTGTTCTGGTCTAATTTTGGATGTTTTGTTAACTTCTTAAACACTCAAATGAAGCAATCTGAGACTCAAACATTGGGTTGATTTGCTCCTGTGATGCTTTGATGATTGTTTTTTTTTTTTTAAATAGATGTTGATATATTTTATACCAAAGGAGTTGGGGGGGAAAAAAAAAAATCAACATGCTAGTCGCTGACATGCTATGCAATGGTGAGAACGCTCTGCTTTAGAGAAATTGTACGAGTGCATTAAAACAGAATAACCTTGCCCTCATTTGATAGATGATTTCCGGAGCGCTTGTAAAGCACTCTTGCTTTTGTACTTTTGAAGTCTGTACTTGTAGTTCTACTCTGAGCTGCCTGTTTATTTTTGTATCTTCTTTTTTTATGAGTTGTTAAGGCGGATATTATTAAAAGAAAAAAATCCAACTTTTTTGTGACTTTTGTGGCAGATTTATATTCATGATTTGGTTATTCACATCTGTGTTACTGTCAAGATGCCTGTGTGTGTGTGTGTGTGTGTGTGTGTGTGTGTTTGTTTGTGTGTTTAACCGACAAACACAGTGATTCCCTTTAGGCTCGTTAAGACGCACTAAGCCCAGAGGACGCACTTTCCAGCACGCTAGCACATTCACAGCCTTCGTACTAATTGCTTTTCTTTTTTTTTTTTACCCCCTGTGCAATGCTGACGCCGCTGTAATCACTTGATACATAAAACATCCGGCAGGCATGATGATGACATTATGATGAGTCTGCACCGGGCCACTATCTCCAGCTTTGTAATGTTTTAATGCTACCAAGTCTAAGCTGTCAAATTAAGTAATGCTTGAAGGCTTCATGTGGTGTTAAATTATTCTTCATTCAAAAACATTCACGCCGCCCTTCATCACAGGCGTGTCTCAGAGGGCTGTACCAAGAAAAAGAAGAGTCTTCCCACGTCTCACAGTCCACCAGAGGAAAGAGTGACGTAACTCCTCGAAGGCAAACACAAAACTCAGATTGTTAGTTTGAACAGAGACGCGTCAAATTTGACTGACATATTTTGACACCAACTAAAACTTTATTCATCTGGTTTGAATCATTGTTCCTAAGTGTGCTTTTGTTGGAGCTGCAGTTCCCTAATCGACCACGTGGGGTCACTGTTTCGTCATATATGAGAATTAACAGGACAGAAATTCCAAACGCTCACAAACTGAAACGTAAGATGGTTTAAGTGTTGCATTTGAATGATCAACATGAAGATACATAAATAAGAAATGTTATCTAGAGGCTATAAATGAAGTTATTTTACGATGAGGTGAACTCCCACTTTTCTCAAAAATAAATTATTTATTATTTATTATTTAATTATGATAGCATTTGTGCATCAATCTGCTAAAAAGGTACATTTTATCTGCCTAGTTTAAATCCTAAGACATCTGCTTACACATTCTTTTACAAGTGCACACACTAATAATTGACTATTCTGGTGAAGCCTAGGAGACACATTATTCCATCAGTTTACTTTTTTTTAAAATAGCATTGTTTGCAAAGTGATATATTCTGTGTGTTTTTTCAACAAAGCTAAAGGAGTCGATGTAATTTGAAAAAAAAAAAAACTTACACATTATTAGTCAAGGCAGAGTACTTTATGAATGCTTTTTAAATGTTGTATGGTTGTCTTTGTGATCCAATCTTCATGTCAGAGTCTGAGGGCAGCGAGTTCAGCCTCGCCTTTCCCTGCACATTATTCCTCATCATATGACAGTCTGTGTGTCTTATCATAGGTTTGAATGGAAGATGCATTACCCTGTGTGGTGTAAGTGTGCTTGAGATAGTGCTATCATATTAGCTCTGAAAGAGTGTGAGTGTGACATGAAGTGACAGTCCAAGGCCGTCTCTATCCCCATTATTCTGGGTCTCTAGACCTGAAACTACAATAGTGCTCATCGACACTAAGAATATGACAATCTTAAAAAGTTGTTGTGACTTACTAACATTTAATCAATCATCGACTTATGTTTAAAAATCTTTAAATAGTCGTCAATAAGGTCCAGCAGAAGTAGTTATTTTCCTTTTAGAGGGTTGCACCACCATTTTTTCATAACACAAATCTTTACATCAGGACTTAAAGTTCTGCTTTCAACTGTCTTGTTTTGTCTTCAACAGACAAACCCTCCTATTTTAAATTGACTTTAAATATCAAGACAAGGAAAGAAGTAAATGTGATTTTTTTTTAAAAAGTGACACATATTCTCATTTAAGAAGCTGACAGAGCAATAAAAGGGCATTATTTAGAGATAAAACCATATCTGAAAGCTCCATTGAGAAGTTTTTTGCTGGCACTGAAACAAACTGAAATCAATAGTGATGTCTCTGTTTGACCTATAAAAGTCAACCTGACCATCTGGAAAAAAAAAAAAAAAGATTATTTCTCTACATATATTTCTATAGAATTATATTTATGTTATGTGCCTGTCACTGGTTCCTTCCAGGAGCCTTAAAGTCAGTTTTAATCCTGACACCTTTAGGCCTATGTGTTTACTTTAAGTGCCAGAGTACACTCTGTTTTTTTCTACTTTATCCTTTCTTTTCTGTGTTAGGATAACTGATTGTTTCCTTTCAAGGCAGCTGTCTTCAGAGGAACATTTGGGATCTTCGCTCAAAACACGAGTCTCCAATTACAACTTTAAAGCACGCTACTTTCTATGAGACTGGATGGTGAAGAAATTCTACCCTCAAGTCTATTTTTTTTAAATCTTTTTACTCCCTGCCTACAGCTTGATACAGACCCGAGTCTGCAGGTCAGTTCAGATTGAGATAGATCTTTATGTCGACTTCACATTTATTGCAGTCCGTTGAACTTGTTGAATGAAAGGCAGTAGTGTTTCTGCCCCTGCAACGGTGTCTTGAATCAAGTAACAAGGCTGTCTTTATGTCAAAGCAGGCAGGAGGGAGGAGGAGAGCTGGGAGGACCGGCGGACCCTGCACAGAAAGAGCGCCAGTGTCGAGTTAAGAACTTTAATATATACAACTTCTGCTCAAATCCTTCAAAATAAGAGGTGGTTATTGAATTAATTATGATGAAGCTGTTAAAAGTTTCAAGTTCATGAAAAAACTAGTACTTACAATGTGAATAAATTCAGATCACATAGGCAGCCTCAGGCTGTCTCGAATGGGAACAGAGAAAGTCGACTAGACAGAAAATCATGAGGCATTTATGATGACACAGATCCACATTAAATATTCATGCAAAGTCACTTACATTTCTAGTATTACTAGTTTATGCATCAGGATTTCTCTGCTGGAACCTAGAGTGCATATTCTCACATTTTCTTGCATATTCATGCAGCTTCTGGGGCACTTTGCTATTTTATAAACGGCAAGCACCCTGTTATTATTAGAGGTGGAATTCAACAAACTCTGAAATATCAGCTCTGTCTGTCATTCTATTATAAATCAGTACTATCAGGGGCCCAGAGTATATTAGAAAGTGTCCACTGCTCTACCTGTGATGTGTTTTAACTACTTAGATAATTATAGTATCAGTCTAGTATTCAGTGCCCCCTCCTCCACCGCAACGAATTTCAAAAGGACCAGTCTTCCTATATTTTTTCTCAGTAGTTACATTATATTATAAGGCGGTGTGGGCTGTATTTACAGACTCAAGTGTTTTCATTTTGTTGCTCTGTAAATAGAGCAGTGTCGTCTGCTATAAATCAGCTAGTATCTGACACAATACTTTATGTTTTGAGTGTCAAATGCGCTTTACAAAATGGTTTATATGTTGTATATTAATATGCTTTGAATATTGCTTCAAGCATTACAAATGTAAACAAGCATTTCAGACTTAAATCCCGTATGTTCTTTTATTTTGAAGGCAGCACCCCTCGGTTACCGGTGTATTTCTGCCTCTTACCGGCAGGCTTCACGCGCCTCGGCGGTACAAACGCTGGCACCCGCTCGTGCACTCTGCGATTTGTCGGCTGTGGACCGGTGAAGGTGGCTGCAGGACTGAAGCGCTGCAGCACCGGGGACCAAAAAACAAAACCTGCAGTCAGCGATCACTGACTCAACGAGACCTGCAACTACAGGTGAGTTTACCCGGGCGAGAGGCCACGTGAGCAGAATAAACAGCTGATATCGCTGAATGTAAAAATAGTGGGCTGAGTTTATTTTATGTTGATAATTTGACTTTGCTAAATGTTGACTTTAAAGGTTTTCATGTGTGTGTGTGTTTACCCATTTGCGTTTAAAAAGTCATTATATGGAACAAAACGGTCGGAACTAGCTGTTTAGTAAAGTCATATTTTCCCCATAACTCATTTTAGTGACACACTTCACGTACTTTGAAAGCATTCACTGGGATTATTTGTCTAATATTACAGTTTAACTTGCTTTTCCTGCTTCTTTGTTACCAGTAAGAACTGTGAAGAGGAGTTTTTCTTTACACATTTCATAATTATTGAATTTAAATAAAACACTCCTTATTGGCAAACATGTTGAAATACCAAAGAGATTATCAATATGTGAGTCATGTTTAAGTCAGTGGAAATGCAGGAATGAAACGAAACGCCCACAATAATTTCTAGTAGGTAGCTAGTCCCAGATAATGAAATTACAAGCACTCAGTGAAAGTGCAGCCTGTTTCCCCACACAGTGTTCTTCACTCAGTCACTCTCACTCACACAACATGCAAACAGTACACAGCATTCAGAGCCAGCCTGTGGTTTTATCTGGAAAATTGCTCTAATCCTGCTTAGTGCATTCACCAACAGGCACCTAGCACCCTGAAATATTTGGATTGCAAGCTGGTGGAGTTGTTTTTCTTCTCACATTAGAAGAATGAAACTGCAGATTATGTGGGATTTGAGGTTGTTTCGCAGGCAGAGAAGAGAAACACTTTCTGGCTTGACACATGCTGAATGCTGAGAGTAAATTATCGTACATGTGCCTGCACCCTATATGAGTGATTAAGTGGGAAAATTGATGTGATACTAGATGGCATATATGTGCTTCAAGTGCCTGGAAGATAAAGTTCCCCCCCCCCCTTTTTATGTGCTCGATATATGTGTGTCCTAATTGTGTTTAATTCATATCTACGGGTGTGTGTGTTTACACTTCAGTGATGCCGTGCAGATTGCATTTAATGTCATGTTTCACAGATCAGATCACAAAATGTAACAGGACACACACCCAGTAGCATCTTCAATGGCGCCGCTGATGTAACGTCCCTGCAGCGTATTGAAAACCTCTGATTATATTACACTTGCCCTTCCTCATTTAGATAATGCAGGTTTACTGAAATCTATTGAATTAAATGGGGAGCTCATGAAAGGTATACTGCCTCTAGGACTGGCTGTCAGATTCACTCAGCCTGCATATATCTTCGAACAGGAGAGGGCGGAGCTGGCTCTGACACATTTATTGCTGTAAACAACAAATAAGGCCTGTTTTACTTGCTAACAGCCAAGTCGACAACAGTACACCTTTGCATGCAAAGAGGCTGCAGTTGACAGATTCAGCAACACTTCAGCCTGGCAGTAAAGTCAGTGTGGCGGTTTACTGTCCAGGAAAAAGAGGGAAGTTATGAGCATCTCTGGCCCTGACTGACTCTGCATTTGCTAACGTCTTTCTCAACTCATTTGCCAAACATTTCCGTAGGACATTGCAAAGGAGGTCGTGTGCAATTACAACTGTTTATTGCAGGTGGATGGTGATGAACAGATTGAATGTGGGGACGCACAAAAATGAATTACAACTTTTGTTTTTGTTCGGCCTTTTGCTGCAAATGACTTTATTCATCCAACCGCCTTTCCTCTTGATGTTTGCTTTTGGGTTGGGAAGCTTTGAAGTTGTTGTAACGTGATACTGCTGTATCCAAGAGATGCAAACAGATGAATAAATGGGAAACCTGAATCATTGTTAGAATTTCACTGCTTCTAGATTGATCAGCAATTAAGAAAGAAAACAACAATGTACGGAAAATTGGAGGGATATGGGATGAAAAATATGTCAATTTCTATCGAATGGGGATTTTCTTCTTAGGAATTGGTTGAATTACCCATTCAGTAAAACAGCCTGATATCACGTATACAACTCAAAGCAAACATTCCTGCTAGCTAACATTTGACCAGCTAGGAATAAACACCTTTCTTATCATAAGAAAAGTGGAGCTGTACTTTCAACTAGTTGGATGACAAAGTTAGCTGTTGCCTAACAAGTCATTAAAGAAGTTGTTTGAACTTGAAACAACTCATTAAATAAAGACAGACTTTAACCTAAGAACGATGTCAGAGGGATATAGGCGTCGTGTGATTATGGTGAAACGCTATCAGCAAATCATAATTTCCCACTTTGCTAAATTACTGTGAGCAACAGTGAAGCCTTGGACAGAGAGAGAGAGAGAGAGGAGTCTTGCTGTACAAACTAAGATTTATTATATGCAACCATAATTGCCCGGAGATGAGCTATGCCCTATCAGAGCTGTATTGTGGTTTTTCATTATATTCCACTGAATGAGGGAGTGCCAACTAATTTCCCCTGTAGTGCAGAGACATTCTGTATGTAGCACACTGTAGAATCGGGTGGTGGCTGTTGTTGTATCATCGGTTTATGTAAAAGATCAATCTGCTCTTCTGACTTCTAAATGTACTAGAATCAATGTTTGGGTTGCCCTCATTTAATTCATATAAGAGTAACTGGCTGATGGTGGCGGACGGACACTGTATTGTTATTATTGTTGATTAGAAACAGAAAGATACTGGAGCTCTAAAGCAAACTTCAAGATCAACGTTTGATGATTTGTTGATGATAAATTGATTCTCAGCTATAAAAAAAACCCAAACAGAACATCTTCATCAGGATGTTTTATAATCTTGTAATTTTCTATCTATCTTGATAATGACAACATATCATTATCAAACTTATGTGCTGCTATTTCTTCTTATGTTTGATAAAATATACTTAAATTAAGCTGAGAGAAGGCTTTCATTTAGGTCATTGAATGTATAGTTCAACCAATAGCCCACTGGATTTCTGAGGCAGGAAAAGAAAGATATGTTTTTCCTGTGTCTATTTGTTAATTGTTCATGAATCTTTTGTTAAATGCTAAAAAAAATGTGTCAAAGAAAATAATAATAGAGTACTTTATAATCCAATCCATCATTTTGTCTCTTCTTGATAAATCTTAAAATATATTTGATGACTCATCTTGAATTGGGAGGCTGTTACATTTATTAATCTAATCAAATGTCATTTTGTTCCCCTCTTGCAGCCTGCAGAGTGTCATTTAGCAGTGCTGTCATTTTTAAAGCCTTTATAAACACATTAAGTAGCGAATAGATAGATTGATAGACAGACGCACACGATCCCCCCCCTCAAACAAGCCTGTGATGTGATACTCAACTCATATCTGTGCATGAGACCAGAGAAATAGTTCTCATTATGTTCTAACTTGTGACTCAATTTCTGTGGTTTTATGTCGCTGCTGCTGGGGTGCTGATAACCTAGTGGTTTGGCACTGCCCCATGTACTGAGGATTCAGTCCTCCAAGCAGGAGGCCTGGGTTCAAGTCCAACCTGAGGCTCCTTCCCCGCCTGTCATTCCACGCTCTCTCTCCTAATTTCCTACTCTATGCACTGTCCTATCTGAAGACAAAAAGCCCCCAAATAAATATATAAAAAAAAAAGGTTGCTACTGATTTTCCAACATTTTGTGATTTTCCCTTTGCATAATGAAAGTGTCCCAACAACATAATAAGGGAGGATCTTTTAAAAAAATAGACTGTGTGTTTATCATCAAACAACCTGAGCTTTACCGGCGCTACAGTATGCAGAGACTTTCAATAACACTGTAGGGAGTTTACAATATTTACAGCCGGTCCTTTACCACAAATTAGAGCCACAGCCCATTTCTTTGAATCATCTTGGACTTAAGACAAGTGAGACATCAGTTAAAAACACACGTTAAGCAGGTGCACCTGTTGTAATGACTGGGCTCAAGTGACGCCCAGTCAAGTCATTCCAGCATAAACCGAAAGAGAGAGAGCAGGCGCACCCACTTCTTGTTCCTGTCTCTGGTGAAACTTTGAGAGGGTATTAAACAACTTTATTTGATTGCCCACAATTCACTTTCACAACTGGCTCTGACAAGGGGGGAGGAGGCGGTGCTCTTTGATCAGTTTGCGTGTGGGGCCGCTTGCTGTCTTCTTTGAGTTTCTGAGGGAAACACGCACGAGATCAGGTGACTCAATCTGAAACCGTTTGTCTGTCACAAATCACTCTGTTGTGCTGCTTTTATTTACCTGCTGTCACTATGGCTGGCCAGTTGGGCAATCAGCGTTGCGTCGCGTGTGTGCTCTCCAACCAAACGTGTGTATTTAAAGCGGTGATGACGGGATGCAGAAATCCATTTAATGGCAGAATGTAATACCGGTGCCAATATTTATACCGGTTTACCATAGACCCCTAATGGTTTTTTTGTTACACACAGACGTTTTTTGCATGGCAATTCATTTGCAAACACATTTCAGAAGTATACAAGATGAATTAATGTTCAGTTTAACATTGAAGTGATAACCCTTTCAGAACCATTAACATCAGTTGCGGCGATTGTGGTTGTTTACAAAAATGCCTCTTCAGCACTTAGACCCGCCTCATATTTGACGACAACTGTGATTGGTCTGACCTAAATCAGGTCGGATGGAAATCTGCCTGACAGGAGGAGGGCCAGATGCATGTTCTTGAGCAAATTAAACAGGAGCTAAAAAAGTGTCTGGTTAATCTGTCTATCTTGGTATCTACCCGTCTATCTGTCTATCTAGATATCTATCTTTCTGTCTGTCTGACACTCTATCCTTCTAGAAGCAGTTTTGAGGTTTTTATCTAGCTTTCTATCTACATTTACTTCTGCTGCAATGACCCATTTCCCCCTTGGGGCTCCATTAAAGTTTCATCTGATACAATCTAACCTAACTGTGAAGAAATGGGACACGTTGAGGACCAATGGATAGGAGAGGAGGGGGGGGGGGGGGGGCATGGTGAATGTTAACACGGGCAGGTTGTCGAGAAGTAGAAGAGTGTAATGTGGTTTG